ATAAATTATGTAAGGTTGTATCTAACATATTTATCTGTCTATATAAAAGCTGATGTCCCTAAAGACATACAGAGTGGAAGACAAAAATTGCTGCAAGACTATACTGCAGAACTCAAATGAAAGGAAAGAGAAAAGGTGGGAAACAGTGCAGGTATTAAAAATAGATATATATTTTCTTTGTTCTTGCAAGTGGTTCTGGTGAAATTACTTGTTTCTGACATTAGTGACATGATTTTTTTTYCCCAAGATTGGGCTTTTTGTAGAGAAGAAATGAAGGAGCATAGCAGGAAGAATATTTGGCGGCTTAAAGCATTTAAGAGAGAGAATTAAATCCCTTGCAAAGTTCATTATAATGGGCTTGGCAGTGAGCACTGAAAACAGATCAAAGAATTAGCTGTAAACACAGGTTAATGATAAGATACTGGAGGATCTGGGGGCTAGAAGGGTGTCACAGGAGCTAGTTGATGTTAAATTAGCTAACATATAGTGTCTTCATTAATCTAAAAAAATTAAGCAGTATTTTAATTACATTTGTGACTTGGCATAAAATACAGAGCTGTGTTGAAGACAGACACAATTAGAAGATCATAGAAGCACATATGGGGAAACAATGCATTAAATTCAATGTAATGCAACTCTGGCTTTTCACTAAGCTCCACTCACAGCAAACTTGCTGTAAGTTTTAGCACATAAAAACCATCTAATGTGCAACTTAAAGGAAAGTTAGGGTAAGAAAAATTATAGCAGAATAATACAGTAAATTGTGAAAAAGACTTAAGACTTTATATGTTTTGGGTTTGTTTTTTTCTGGCCACTGTGGGTTTGCTGCAAACTTTCAGCATATTTTGGTTGGAGAGGAAAGTTGTTGGTGCATTAAGCTCCACTACATTATTACATCATGGAAATTGCAGCTAGAACACGGAGCATCTACAGGCAAATCCCATTGTGAGCAGCCCATGGAAACGTGGCTGAACGAAGCACGTTGCAAAGGGAGGAAAAGCTGCAGAGAATCCCCGAGCKAGGCAGGGTGAGGCAGAGTGTGGGAGGAAGAGGGGAACCGGAATCTACTTTTTCGTGCTCTTCACGTGTGGGTCAGAAGACTAATTTTTGGCCTCTCAGGGCTGGGGTGAAGAGAACAAGCTGGTAATAAGTTCCTTCAACAAAGAACAATGTATTTTGTTTTACCTGAAACCTTCTATGCTCTGTTACGTCTCACCTATTTGTGTTCTCACTCTTTGTGCTTTCAGTGCTTCTGCTCCTTTGAGTGCAAACAAAATATTTATCCAGAAGCTGATCGCTGTATGCACCAATGCATTTCTTGAATGGGTATCAGTAACTGTAGCTGCTAGAGCTGCCTTGTTGTATTTGGGTGTCATCCTGCTTACATTGCGGGGTTTTGATTTGAAAAATTATAGCTTTTTTTTTTTTTTTTCATTATTGGTACATCTCTACCAGGTGGTCCAAGCTTAATAAAAATAAAGGCAAACTTGCATGTATATTCTGTTAAATGTCTCCTTAAAATACTTATTTAGTGTTTTCATTTCATCTTACCAGTTCTTCTGTGCTATTGATACTGCAAGTACTATGTTACTGTCTTGGGGTATAGGAACACCAATTCCTATTTCTACTTAATAACTGGTAACGTACAGAAACCTGTCTATGTAAACAAGATCCATTTTTAATATTCCTTTGGTTTTTTTTTCAAATCCTCTCAAATTCATGTTTTTAATTTTTTTCAAAAAAAAAAAGTGTCCCTTAAAAATTTCTAATTGCAGATGCTCACAGGGGATCTTGCCCACGTCCTTCCAGGTTAATCTTGTGGTATCATGGGTATGCAGAACTGCCAGGTCTTGGCAAGCTCGGCTGCTGCTTCCTATATTGTCAGCATRCAGTGCTCTTTGTGATGGGACACAGTGCATGGTCATCTGAACTTAAAACCTACCCTTAGTTTGAATATTAAAAGCATATTTATATTTAGCCAGTCAACTCCTTTGCTATAGTGTCTATGCTCACGTCTGATAAAAGGAAAAAAAAAGAGAAAAGAAAAAAAAATCACTGTTACTTGAGTTCCTCTGTGATTTTTGTCATCTGTATAATTTTTTGATGACATCTGTACAGTGGTACACAGTACAGTGTACACAGTAGGCCTGTAGAGGCTACTTTATGGCTGTGATAGAAGTATGTGAGGGAATGCAGGCATGTGGGGGAATAAAGTTCAGGAATTGTGGGGTCAGGAGTGCYGTCCTTCCCAGTGATTCAGGGGGTTCTAATTCCACTCTGCGAAACTTGAAGTTTGGGGGGTGCTGTTCCTGGCTGCTTTGTACTGTAAGGCAGAGTATCAGAGTGCACTTTAATGTGATCAGGGTGTCATGTGAAATAGGGCAAGCTGTAGCATTACATCACGTGGAAAAACCTGCCAGGGGGACCGGTACCTAGCGAGCCTGGTTGCTGTGAAACAGAAGTTTCTCCAGGGGTTTTTCRTCAGGACAAAAGATGGGGGAAGGCTTCCTATGGCCGAGCTGGGAAGGAAGCCTTCAGGGTCTTGGTGGCTTCCACAGGAGTCCTGTGACTTGCAGATGCTACCTCAGGCAGCCACTGCCTGTGACATGCATGTAATAAATCTGGCTGGTGCTTGGGGAGAAGAGGARGCGCTGCAAAAAGTAGCACAAAGATTCAAACCAGCCAGGATTCACTGCAATGGCTATGCCAGACTGGTAGAGGAGGAGGAGTAAGTCTAAGAGGACCGGTTGGAGAGGAGAGGAAGTTCCCACTCCTCTTTCTACAGACATGCTGCAGCCGTGTTTCTGACATGTTTTTTTGGCGTCCTTGGAGTTTAGGGAGTCCCCGTCTGCTTGCAACAGCCCCGCCACTTGGGGGTTCTGCTGCCTTGGTTGTTTGTGCAAATGAGGAGTAAAATGGMTTTTCTGGTGTAGCAGCAGACTATATTTTTAATTTTATTTATAAGTTTATTTAAGCAGCAAGCTATCTTTTCAGCTCAACCAGTTAACAACGTGAGAGCTATGGGCTGGGGAAGATGAGCGCAGCCTCACACAGGGCTGGAAGAGAGAAGGCAGAGGGTCTGAGACGGCAGTCAGAGCATGTAGGGCCCCTTGCTGCTCTTACTCACCCCTGAGGCTACTAACAGGTGAGTCTCTCCATGCAAAAACATCCTTAGCCTTGGAATTGCTGGATTTTCCAGCTTGAGAGGGAATTGTGGGCTAAGTAGCTAACTTAATTCAAGTATGTTATGTAATATGTTCCAGTTGTATACAGTGTTTGMATTTGAAAAATTGTAATAGATGCTATTTTTTTCTGTGGTTGACTCCRTGAAAGCTTTTAGAATGTGTTGTCAAGCAATAATGTTATTATATAAAAAAAGGCTTCCAGAAATGTAAGACACTTTTCTTTCATGATTGCTAAGGAAAACRGGGTAAATTACTGTGTGTTAACTACACAGTGCCTTGGGATGAGGGTTTGTTGCTGGCCAGCTACTACAGAGCTCATGGCATCTGATAGTAGCATCTTGTGATGATTAGGATGTTTCCAAGGTTCCTAAAAGTGCAGTCGTGTAAAACACCCTGATCATGGAATGTGGATCAGCTTCATTCATTTTATGCAGAGGTTTTTAGCCTGGCTGCTGGGGGAGATGAGTCATTCTGTCTTCTGTTCCCTACTGCTATACCTGATCCTCATGGCTGTTTTCAGGAACTGTGGAAGATAACTTCCATGTAAACGGGTGCCCAGTAGAGGAAAAACATTACTGGAATTTCTTTTAATAGTGCAGTGTGAGTTTATTAGATTTAAGAAAATTCCCATAGGAAAGATGTTACAAATTCCCCATCTGTGGGGAGGCTCCACTTGGAGCTTGTGTGACATTACGTGTTGCAGAGGGAAGCCATAGGAAACGAGGGTTTGTTACTGACGGTGACCATGGAGCTACTTGGCCTGGTTCTCCCTGTGGCTTTTCGTGCTCCTAGCACCACGTGGACAGCTGGTAACCAGAGGGAAGAGCTTTTAGGAACACAGACGGGAGCGATCCCCTAGGAGCGCCGTGTGACGGAGGTCCCTGAGGGCACCATTTGGGTGAGGCGCCATTTTGTGGCCTGTGTTGCTGTGCTAGGTGCCCTGTGCTGCGCTGCTCTCCTGAACGTCCTGCGGGTTCCTGGCTGCTTAAGCGATCGGTCCTAGGGGGGCTTTGTTTGTGGCATGTTTCTTTTTCTGCTAGGAAAGCACACAGTCGTAAAGCTGGGATTTATTTTCTCGTATGGGGATTGAAGACTGTCGGTTCTTGTGGAGCGTTAGAGCCCCATGACAGGGGAAGGCAGTGGGCAGCCTCACTGCAAACTAGCCAGGCTCTTTCTCTGCTCCAGACCATAATCATGTAACTCTCAGAAATTCCAGGCAGAGCTTGGGTTAGGATTGAAATGGGAAGAGCAAAGAGAAGATGGCTGTCCTGTCAAAGTCTCAAAGGGCAGATGCGATGAGGGAAGGATATTCTGAGAGCTTTCAGTGAGTGAGTCTGAGGCACCAGAGGAGTGAATGAGATACAGACACCGCTCATTTCAGTAGTGCTGTGCTTTTGGGCTTCTCTCCTCGCATCTAATTACAAGTGAAATTTGTGTTTGGGAAGAAAAGTGTTAACATTCTCGGAGGTTTCTAAAGCCCTGGCAGAGCAAACCTCGAGTTTCCAGTTCACAGTGTTACCAACTGCTGCTCCTCTGTTGGAGCCTGCAGCTGCCATGAGTTAATGGGCTGGGGGGTGGCAGGGGAACGTGGTGGGTTGTGAGCGGTCCAGGTGACAACCCCTCTTGGTCTCCCTCCTGGGAAAGTCTGAGGCGCCTTCGGTGCGATGTGGCTTGTAGATGCCAGCAGGAATTTGCCAGGCGTCTGTAAGTTGTTCCAACATATATATTGAAGGATCTTCACTGTCACCTGTGTTTTGCTGTTGGCCAGATGCTTTGAAGTCTATAATAAAAGGACTAACTTATTTTTTCTTTCAGTCTCCAGAGGGTGCTGAAGGCAAGGATGCAGCAAAAGTAACTAAACAAGAGGCAAGTCTTTTTCCTCATTATTATTGTTATTCATTTTGGCAAGTAATTATTTAATTGGAAGTCTGAAGTCTTGCGGATCAAACGAGTATGTACTTACTGCTCGGCCACTTCCAGTGATATGTTTTGAGAGGAAATAATGACAGTTTGTTTAAAACCAGAAGTAAGCCACATTTGTAGCTGATTTGGCATAATTTGATTTTTGTGCAGTGAGGGTTAATAGGACTCGCTGGTACACAAAACAAATCCCAGAAGTCGTTCAGGACTTTAATACAGGCGCTCTGGTGGACCTTACAGCAGCAGCCTAGCGTGTCACCTCTTGGAACTGCTTTGCTTACCTTTCCCTCTAGCAGAGCTGGCACAAGAGAGTTAATCCAACACCTCGGCTGCTCGACTTCAAAACTATTCTTAGCTTATGTGGCTGATGGGAGGGTGTTTTGAATTAAGATACCAGATTCTAAACTGGGGCAGCTGACATATGGGTATGTTTCCTTTGTCCAAATTTGCATTAAGGGCACAGTTAACTCTTGGCAGGAGCAGCAAGGGGGACAGCTGGGGGTACCTTGAGCAGTACAGGAAGGTTGGCTGGACTTCATTATAGCCCTTAATCTGATTTTAAGAAAAGAGGTAGGTAAGTATTGAGGATTCACATTCTTAGTTTGTCACCTTTTGTAGCCGACAATGTTCAATCAAGTGCTTGAAAAGACTGTGTGAATATTCAAGCAGATTAACGATTAATTGCACTTCTCATAAAGCTTTGGGCATATTTGAACAGGGAGAAAAGTCTGATGAAGTTYTGCATTTTTTGAACTGAGGAACCGATTGATGCCTAGTCAGGCAAAAGAAAATGGTGCAGTGGCATGAATGTCAAAGTTTTTCAAAGAATAGTARTATTTCCCAAAAAATCAGGAAGAAAGCAGGTGAGTAAAAAGATCTGAGAAGACTAGCTAGTCTCAGTAGCATCCTGTGGTATTTTCTAGAAGACAGTATACCTGCTAGCTTCTTAGTTTCATAAAATACGAAAAGGCTGGCTAAATCATAGTAAAAAATGTATTCTTTTTGCTCTAAATATTTTTCCCTCTGTCCAATTTTAAATATTTTTCCTTCAAGAGACAGAAAAGTAAAGATTCCTTACCCCAAATACTTACAACACTTGAATGTTAGTATGAGAAGAAAGACTGAGAAGTTTGAAGAAATATTCCCTCTCTGGGGAAGGCTTGTTCTCTTTGAAATACAAGAGTAGTCTTCAGTCAAGATGAGATAACAGTGACTTGGACAAAAAGTACAAAAAGAAAGAACAAACACAGGCTCAGCAGACACACCTGTAGTGCTCAGAAAGGACRGTGGTAAGGGATTAGGCTAGAAACTGGGAACTTTTGGAATTTGGGTCCCACAGATTTTGGAATAGGTGGAGCTCAGAAAGAATTGCTTCARTCTGAACCAAAACAATCCCATGTGGATGATGACACTCAAGAGTGTCTGATTCTGATATATATATGTATTTTAACTAAACATTTGAGGGAGATCAGCAGCTTCTGAATTCCCTGTCTTTAGGATTAAAAAAAGGGCAAAACAAACCAGAAGCTATAAAATTTGTATCTGCATTGGCAAAGAGCAATTTTGAAAAATGCGTTGGGAAGACATTAAGAGAATAAAAGCTAAAACCTGGAAAGCTGCTTCCTTGAGCGAGCAGCAAGTCAGAGGACCAAGAAAATGGCACCACCTCCTGATGCAGTGCTCAGTAGTACATGGGAGCTAAAGAGAAACTTGTCAAGAGAACTGATCTGTGATTATGACCATACTGCAGTTCTGTTCATAGGCATTGCGGGACTAAAACTCAAAAAAAAAAAAAAAAAAAAAAAAGAGAGAGAGAGAAAGATTTAACACCAAAATAAAAAAAAAATGTTATTTTTAAAGGTATTTTTGTACAGATAGAAAATAATGAGGAAAGAAGCTGAACAGACAGTCTGACAAAAGTGAAGCTGAAATACAGTGACTAGATGGAACTTCTGCTATGCAGACCTGCTAGGGAGGTTGTCACAGTGGAACCTTTTCTTAGGAGTGTAGAGTTTAGAGAACATTCTTGAACTTGGTTTTTTTTTTCTTTTTTTTTTTCCCCCCTTTAACAAACTGATAAAAAAAAAAAAAAAAAAAAAAAAAAAAAAAAAAAAAAAAAAAAAAAAAAAAAAAAAAAAAAAAAAAAAAAAAAAAAAAAAAAAAAAACTAGCCCAATAGCCCAATGAATTTGGGTTAAAACTGTTTTGTTAAATTGTTAAGTACCAGAGTAACTGAAGGCAATGCATATGCCCTCAGGGTTTTAAATAAGCGATTTAGGAAAGTGAAGAGTTTGCTGCTGTTGTTTGGGTTTTTTTGTGCTTTTTTTGTGCAAAATGAGTAGATATGGACAAATGTATAGCAGGAGAGCTGACAGATCTTGCAGARAGGTCATACTTCAATACCTGTTGACTTCACAGAATTCAGATTAGTGAATGATGTTGAACCTATTGATACAATGTACTTGGATGTAAAAGCACTTTTTGATGAAGCTCTCCAACCAGAAACCAACAAATCATGGATTAAAGAGAAAATAGTTAAAAAGTGGTAGCAGATGAAGATAGGAGAAGAGACTAGGGAGGAAGCAGTTTATTTTCAGTGCATGCATTGTTGAATGATCTAGGAGATAAGTTACTGGTGAAACTACAAAACGTGCTGGAGTTTACAAAAAAAACATCAGGATGGTCAAAAGTGAAGGAGACTGAGAAGGATGTGATGCTGCTGCATAGCTAGGTGATAAAAAGCAGTGAAAAATGAATATGGAGAATGCAGATTGACACACATGGGCAGGGGAGGACACAGTTTGTGGGCAAGTTAGCTGTAAGTTGGGGGACAGACTGTAGATTCACTGGAGGAAAGACTGTAGATTCAGTCTTAGGAAATGTCTTGGTAATTGAAAGGGGACCAGAAGAGGGGGAATATTCCTGAGCAGAGTGGGAGGCATCGCCGCATCACAGCGTAAATGCTGTGTGCACCTGGGTGGGAGCTGCTCAGTGGCTCTCTTTTAATAAGGTCAGGATGGAATTGAAAAGGTACAAAAAACAGTGAGATGAACAGAAACTACAGAGCAGCTTTTTAAATGAAAACAAATTTTCTAGGATTTGTATTGCAGAGGTGATACATTTATCAGAAAAAAAAAAAAGAGAAAGGCAGATAAGGAGTGATTACTTGCTGTCATAGTTCTATAATAGGAGGAATCCAATGCAAGTAAAAAGGGTTTCCTTTTTCTTCCCCTTATTTTCTTTTTTTTTTTTTGTTGTTGTTGTTAATGATCCATAAATATTTGAAAGTATCTTTAGGTTTGCATTTTACTGGACCCAAATATGAACCATTCCTTACTGCTTCTCCTAAGAATACTTCTGTGTCCCCAGCAAATACATTTTACTGCATTTTTCAGATATTAACAGCAGCTTTTCTTTTTTCCAAGAGGTATGTTGGGCTCTGCTTTTTTTCCTCAGCTCATCTTAAATGCTTAATCTATAATTTAAAAGATATTTTTGCTTCACTTTTTAAGCTGCATTGTGTTGGATATTTGTTGCAGTTGAATCGTACCTTCATTTTAATTAGAAATGCAATTCCAATTTTATGGCATAGACCAAATTTAACTGTGTTTGATAAATGCTCTGTGACTGGATCATGGACTCATCTGTTTTAATGACTAAAAAAAAAAGCTATGAGCAAATTAATGAACTTACAACTCTTTCTACACTTGCTCATCTTCAGTAGTGGATTTATGAAAAAGAGCGAAGTGAAATAAAATTTAATTAGGAAGGCATGTTGAGGTAATGAAGAGGAGAAGTGGGGGAAAAGCAGAATATTAGACTTTCTTCTTTCCTTTTTATAATTATCTTTACATAYAAAAAATAATCATTTTCCTTCTGATCTTGTAGCAGCCTCTGTACAGATGGTCTCTCAGAAGCAGTTATGGGAAGGGACTGGACCTGGAGGGATCCTTCGTTTCGTGTTTTGATCTGTTAACACTCTGATGTCCTCCAGGAAAAGATCATGACTTTACTTGGATTTTTATCAGAAAATATTTTTACCTGCTATTAAAAATAAGATCTGATGGATTAGAAAACTYGCTGCTTGAAGTATTTGTTTTGCATTTCACAGGGATTTGCTGTGTCCTATGTACAGCTGGTTAAACTTACTGAATTTGTGAGTCTTTAGAGCAGCAAGGGACTCAGAAGTACTGGTAAAAGAGGTGCTAAAATAATATTTCACAAATGTCAGCACTGACAGATCTGAGAGTAGATTTAGGCATCGCAATTCCTGATCTGTTTTTATTAATTTCCATCTCACTTTGTTCTTTTAAAACTTTCATGGTCCAAAATGAGGAAACTCTGAGCAAGGCTGATAGATACGTACAGAGGTGTCTATTTTGGTAGGGTGTATTTTATTTTTTCTGTCACCATCAAGTGGTTCTTGATCATCTGGGCTTGGGTAGCATTTACTGTAAGCCTATAAATGTCTTCTTTCTTTCTTTCTTTCTTTCTTTCTTTTTCTGTAGCCCACAAGACGATCAGCAAGATTGTCAGCTGTAAGTATGTGTAACATCTCTTGGTGTATACTTTTCTAGGCACATGTTTTCTCAGACCAAGCAGGTTTGTTGCATTTTGATTCATTTTTGCTGAAGCTGTTCACAGGCATGAAGTCTAGATTTTTTAATCTATTGGATTCTGGAAGTTATTTTATATAAAAGCAGATGCATTTCTGTATTTCAGTACAGCACACTGCCTGATTACACATAGTATTGCCTTAGTGCCTTTGCAGGTTGTGGAAATGTGGCCACGTCTGTGTGTGTAAGAGCAGTCCTGCAAGGGCTTGATTGGTGCAAGCGACTAATATTTAGCTTTAGTCCCTCTTCTTTATGAGAACAAGCACATTCTAAATCTTTCCGAGTACATTTTGATCAAAATGCATAGACATGCGTGTTTATGAACCAAATAACTCTTCATAAAGTGGAAGAGCCTTTTAATGATACAGCTGTATGAAATACTGTGAAACCTTTTTTTTCTTTTAGCAGAAGAATCTCTCTGATGGCCTTTCCCTTTATTTTAATAGATCCTTCTAGGCCCCATGTTTAACTCTTAAAATAGCCCTCAAGTTACTTTAGCTCCTAGATGAGTGGGCTAACAGAAATGGGTACATGTTTGTTTGCACGTTGACGTTTTCTGACCTTTTCTAGGTGCATACTAGTGAGTGGGACGTAAGGGAAGCTGTTGTGGGGTGGGTGGAAGCTGCTCTGTGGAGGTTGGTGACTGGCTACTGCTAATAGATTTAATATGTCATGCAACTTAAAACTGTTTTATAGAAACCTGCTCCGCCAAAACCTGAACCTAAACCAAGGAAAGCCACTAAGGTAAATACTCTTCTTTTTAACTGTCATCACTATAACCAATAATAACTAGATTATACTTTCTCTTTGCCTTACAAACTATTCATTTCACATATTTCTGGTGCATGAACTCTCCTCTGACTTCACTCTTAGCCAGGAGAAAAAGCAACCAACCAACCAACTAACCAGCCAGATCAGTTCCCTGTTCTCCTGCTCCACCCCTTCCTGGCCTCGTTACTGGCCAACAAACTGATAACACAGACTGCCTTAGTTTGTAGTGAATACCAACCTGAGGAAGAATCTTCCCTTTTTTTACACCTCTCCTGAAATTTGCAGGTTTGCTCAAGTTGGCCCTACTTGGGACTGATTATTCCATATCATCCTGKTTGCTTGACTAGAGGGCTGGTATTTCATTTAGCAGTGAGAGGGTCTCACCTGTTTGTGAAGCCTGGCCACTGCTGAGAATGTGCCGTTATAATAAAGGTGAAATTAAATATATTTAAATTGGATGGTTTGGGTTTACTAGGCCAGTCACAGTCAAATTAAAATCTTATTAGTGCCTGAGATACCTTTTCATGACTTGTGCATATAAATCACATACTTCAGAAAATGCAGATTTACTTGGGCCCAAGGGGAATGCTAAGTAAGAACAGTTGCTTTATCAGGAGAGAAAGCAGGCACAGTGGGGGACACTGAGGGGAGCTCTCTTCACACTTAGATGTTTCTAGCCTGTGTTCTAGTATCTTGGTTGCACAGGGATCAGGCTATGAGGTTCATACATGAATGTGTAACCTATGCTTAATAATGCAGCTGATAAATGCAACAAGACTTCATGAATTATCCTGATAYGACTGGATTAATTTAATTTGTGTTCATAAACCTACTCTCCTCTTAAAAAGAGTATTAAAAAAGAATAGAGCGTGGTAGAGTTTATAACTTGCAGCGCACACTGTAAAAAGAGCTGGGTGTTACRAAGTCTGAGTTGCATGAGAGACATTTCAGGCTTGTTCGCAGCGTGTGGAATCTCCTAGGGTGCAATTCCAAGTAACTTTTAAAATACTGTAATCTGCTGGATTTTTTTCCTAAATTCTAACTGGATCGCCTTTTAAGGAGTATAATATTAATTGATCTCCTAACAAAAACTAACAAAAAAGTATGTGCTCTGAGCCTGCTAGTGATCCCAAATCTGCGCTGTTGTTGGCCACTGCGGTTTTACTAAGTCAAGCGCTTGACTTCTTCCTTGTGTGAAGAGTTGGGGCTGTACTCGAATGAAGAGCAAGCACCTCAGTTACACCCTGCAGTGGGGGGCAACAGGGAAGCTCAAGAGTGATAGGAGTAAATTTAGGCTGCCTCCCAACTAGGGTTAACCCTCTTTTTCTCTGCACCCGATTCCTGTACTGGAAAAGAGTGGGATCAAAAGGAGGCTGACCTTGATATCCCCCTTCATGGGATATTAAGGCTTTTGTTGGCCATTTTGCATGGAGAGCTTGGAGCAAGTGATAGCATGGGACATCTCAGTGCTATTGAGCTATGCTTTGAACAAACAGCTTTTTAACACATACATAACTTACATTTTTGACACATAAGACTTAAAATCCTTAACTTGTTTTCCTACCAAGTGGTGGACACTCTTAGATCACAACCTTAAGTACATTTGTAGGTTCAGTGATACAAAAATAAGACGCCAACATATGAGTTGGTTGTTGAAGAGCAACTCYCTACATGAAATTGTAGGTGGTAGAATAGTTCCTTTTTGTAAATTCTCTGTTTTTTGTTGCTACAGATGAGATATTATCGGTGTTTGCCTCCCTAATGTGTTAGTTGTTTCCCACTGATGTGAAATGAACACCACAGATGTTATCAAACTAAGAAAAGGGCAGCCAGCAGAACWGCCTAATTTTAAAAATCTAATTCAGTGTTTTATGTTGATCAAAAGTGCATTGCCGTTACACAAGCAGCAAATTGGTTGTGCTTGGGGGAATAAGCTGGTTTTTGTTTGTTTTTAATTGTAATTGTTTTCGWTCATACGGGTATTTTTCACATTTTACGGGTATTTTCTATTTTAATCAGTTTACAAAAGGGGCTTGAGGGGTTTGCATGTCCCTGGAAATTAGCAGCCGTACTGAGGAAGCAACAGCAGCCCCCTCTGCAGATTGTGAGTCTGTAACTTCTGTACGTAGCAAATTTCCAGGTCATCTTAGGTGAGTGTCACTGTTAGTGCCGCCCGTGCAGCCAGCTCGGATTTGGTGCTTAGTTTCTGTGCAGGGTTTTGCTGGACGGCCAGTGCCGGCTGCCCTTACAGCCTGTGCCCCTGTTTTTAATCTTCTCTCAGAAGGAACCCGGAACAAAGGCCAGCAAAGGTGCTAAAGGGAAGAAGGATGAAAAGCCAGAAGCTGCAAAGGAAGGTACTACACCCTCTGAAAATGGTGAAAATAAAGCTGAAGAGGTACTTTCCACACATACCTCCTGCTGATTGAACCAGTGCTTTGGCTTTGCTTGGGTTCCTTTTAGCAATTCCGCCTTGGAGACGCCGCCCGGTGCTCCTCCCGCCTCTCCTTGCTGCCCGCGAGGATGAGGATGGCAGCGCGGGGGCTGCGCCTCCCTCGCTGCACCCCTCGCCCTGCCACCCCGGGGTGCCCCGGGGCGAGCTCGCTGCGCCCAGCAGGGCGAGCGCAGGACGAGGGGAGCGCGGGCGCGCCTCGGCAGTCTGCCCTCCTGACCCGCCCTTCTCTTTCTCTCTTCCCTCTCCGCAGGCTCAGAAAACTGAATCCGTAGGTGACAAGAACGAATGAATTGTCGCGGAAATTGGGGGTGGATTTTGTGTACCTCTCGGGCAACTTTTAAAAGATATTTTTATCGAGTATTTTGTAAATGCTAATTTTTTTAGGACGATGATAGTTGACATATTAAACTGTATATGAACATTGCCCTTCTCGTAACAGTGCTTTTAGGAATTCCTGTTGTTGCCAAGTAATATGATATCAAATTAATATCGCAAGGTATGTGTAAAATTGGATCAGCATTCCATACACTTGCTTTATGAAACCCAGTCTTGTGCATATGGTGATGTTTTTACTGTGCGTATTTGAATTTTCCATGCAGTTTTTCTAGAGCAATAATCAGTGGTGCTTTTGTACTTAGGGTTTATGTGATTTTAATGAAACATGGATAGATGTGGCCACCTGCTGACTATTTTGGGTTCTTTTAATGGATTAAAATAAAAGGTCTCCTTGCCTGCAAAACCACAGCCTCCTAATGTGTTCTCTAAATCCGAGGGATGCCGTGCTCAGATCTGCAGCTACTGCAAGGCAAACGAAGCGATTTAGCAGCCGCCAGGTTTTRCACACAGTCTGTTTCCTGTTTTTTCCCCTTCTCTTCTGACCTCTCATTAAAAGTTCCCTGTGGGAAGCAGGTTGGGCTGGGGCACTGACCGGCAGTTCCTTCCCATGCGCTGTCCCGGGGTGAGCGGAGCTGCCCCGGCGCGTCGGGCATCTTCCCCTGTGGGAACCTTCCCTTCCATCCAGGGCCGCAAGTTGGTTGTGGTGGTTGTTACTCTGCTTCAGCTGAGGACGGCGAGTGTGTGGAACTTGCTGTTAAACAGCCTGTGTATTTGGTACCTGCGGGAGATGAMGTTAGTGGGAGTTATTTTGGGGGTGGTTGTGGCAATATAGGTGAGTTAGCGGGTGATTTGGGGTGTCTTTTTCAACTCTTTACCTCCTTCTAAGCCCCTTTGCTGATTTTTCTCCTCTTTACGCTTTTCTCTAGGCATCTTGATGTGTCTATTACTACTCCTGGGTTGGGAGGGAGAGGTGAGAGAAGATGGTCCCTGTTCTTCACTAGCATTGATGCGTATTGCTCAAATGGTGGCCCTTTCATCCGAGGAGACTTTTGCTTGTCTGAGTCAGTAAATAAATGGCTGCTGCCTGACCTCAGGTCCTCTTCCTTCTTCAGGAAGAAATCTCCAGTTACCTTCCCTCCTCATTTAAAAAGAAAAAGGAAAAGAAAAAAGKTTTTGTTTCAAATGATAGAAAGCAGAGGACCACAATGAAACTGGTAACTTAATTAAAAGGAAAACCTTTTTTGGTGTTATTTRGTGATTTGTAATAGCCTCGCATCATACTTCTCATTGGCTTTCTGTTGCACCCCGCTGAGAAGCTTGTTAATGTAGGTCCTACAGTCATGGGAATTTTGACTGCGTGAACTTGTTTTTCCTGAGCATCCATAGTTCATTGTTATTGTGAAGAGGGATTTGGGGTAGTCACATTATTTTATGTGTGGATAACAGAGAGATTAGTTGCTTAATCCTACCTAGACAGGTGGAGGTCTTGGAATGACCCTGCACACCACTGATTTAGCCCTCTGTGTGTCATTAGACACTGACAGCTCTCCAGAGGAGCTTGTTTTAGGAGAGCTCTTTTGACTAAATACCTAAAATGCCTAAAATGTAGCTGGAAGTTGAGTCTTTTAAGTTAGTTGGACAATATCCCGTCCTAATGATTTTGGCACAGAAGTTCTGGTGCTTAACAATAAAAAATCCACTTGGGTGAAGTTTAATGAAGCTCACTATCCTGCTGAATCACTGAATGTTTCTTAATAAAATAATTTTTWAAAAGTCCCTTGTAAAAGTGATGCTTTCCAATGTTTCTCATCTTTGAAAACTTAACACTACAGCGAGAAAGAAACTCAGAGCAGCGGGGCAAGCTGCAGACCTGACTTTCCTTTGAGCTGGAAGGAGGCCCTGGGATGGCGGGAGCGGAGCAGCTGGCGCAGCGCAGGGCTCCCTCAGGAGCAAGGTGGGTGTTTGAATGTGGTGCATCGAGCTCCGGGCTGCCTCCTGCTCCATCCAGGTCGCGAAGGGAGTTACAGTCACCGGTACTGAATGATTGTGAAGCTTCACACTCCGGCACAAGGTTTGGAGGATCCATAAGGATGGGAAATCACAGAGTGGYTGAGGTTGGAAGGGACCTCCAGAGACCATCTGGTCCAACCCGCTGCTCCAGCAGGGACACGCAGAACATGTGCCACAGGGGATTTATTTTAATATTTCTTTTTCCTGCACTTCAAGTATCAAATGACCCTAAGAAGAGTGTATTAAGCATCTTAAATTCCTATTTTTTTTCCCTGCAAAACAAGTTTTTTTGTAGGTATTTGTCCTTTTTTGAGGGGAAGTGAAAGAGTACATAGGAACATAGGACATTCAGAGAACACAGAACAGGGAACATAGAAGTGTATTTTTTAATCAGGGAGGGTGGACTGTCCATAAGTTTCAGGAAAGCGGGTACATCAGACATGACACTTAGCGAGTGCTCAAGAAAGGTAACCCTGGTGCAGTGAAGGACGGAGCTCCGCTGGGTCTCGGAGGGGGATTTCTCCCGGCTCCTGCTCTTAAGTCCGAGAGCACGAGAGACTTCGGCTTARAATTTCGTAACTACAAAAAGAAAAATGTAGAGAAGGGAGCAAGAAGCGAAAGRAAAGAAAGACCTGTTACATTATAAAAAATACAGGAGACATTTAAGAGTTTAGGTTCTAGTGGAATGGGAGAAGGGATCTCTTTATGCTCAGGGTTTTTCTTCATTGCTTTTTGGTTAGTTTGTTTAGTCCTTAAAAAAATAAGATCATTTGAATGTTGGAAGAAGCCAAAGCAGAAAGGGAGAACATGGTTTGAATTTAGTTACATATATATATATATAATAAGTTACTGAAACTAGTTATATGATCCTAAAATATATATCATTATACTGATTATCACTACCCACCATTTTAATTCAAATTCTACTGTGAATGTAAAGAAATTTATATAACCCTGAGGAGATAATACAACCAAAAAACAAATGGTGGTGCTGTATTCTGTAGCCAGAAGGTGTCATCAAACAAGAAAGAGGAAGAAAAACTGAAATATTAAGGAATATGCATCTCTGCTGAATAATAAATTGGGTTTGATGTGGCTGTTTCATTGTATCCGTATTTTCACTTAAGCCATTGAATCTGGAATACTGCTGTGAAACTGAAACTGTTCTCCAACTGTCCTCCAGCTTTACATGACAATTTAGACTCACATATTAACCAGCATTAAGTGAGATAGTAAATTTCTGCATGTAAAATAAAATACAGAGATCTAGGAGCTATATAAGGGCTATATAAGCGTGTTAGGTAGCAGGAAGTCTGTCATCCTCCTAGTTGGGTGGTTATCGTGGTTCTTTTATGTGTAGGGAAACGAGCCACATTTCTGTAGCTGGTTGAATTACCTCAGACTGAGTAGTTAGGAGAAGCTTTAGATGGGTCAGCGGGATCTTTGAAAGGGCGAGAGTGAATTTTCCTACTGCTCTTCACCCCAGTATTTTTATTCTCTAATCAGAAACTTTGAAGAAACTTTAAAGCTATTATTTATCTAGATTACCTTCTATAATGTCCAATTGTGGAGTTATATTAAAATGAATTTATGATGATTTTCCTATTGARAAGGATGAGAAATGAACTGTTTCTATGCATTATTCCTTTGTGATGAACCGTACTATTAGCCCCAAACTAGTCTATATACAAAGCATCGAGACACGATATTTTCTTGGGAGCAGCGTCRAGGTACTGACTGCAAACAAGCGGTGCAGAATTACTAATCTGGCCCTATACTAATATCTGGTCAGTTGACACTGCAGAAGCRGTATCACATGTGGGATAGCTGCAGATGAACAAGGAGCAGAGAGTTTGGGGGATCTCATGTGGGTCTCGCTCACAGTGCCCATTCGGCAGGAGCTGTCCCACAGGAGCAGGAGGAAGGAGCTGGCACTGGGTGGCTTGGAGCAGAGGAGGGAGTGCAGCCACCGGGACGTCCTCTGGGAAACAAGGCAGAAAAAATGGAAAAAGAAAGGAGAAAATAAAGTGAGACCCTCTATCCCGGGAGGGTGGGTGTAGAAGAGGAGGGTTTATTCAACACACGAGAAACTGATTCTTCAGGAATGAATGTGAGAAAGAAACAGGTGGCAGAATTCTCTGCATGTGTAAGCCAGCTTCGACTATCACTATATATATACTTTCATCTCCCCCCTGAGGATTTTTATCAATGGAGTTACTGAGTGTGCTWTACCTTTTTGTTCCCTCCAGGGCACATCTCCAGCAAGTCTTTACAACATTCATTTCTTTGAAGGCAAGAGAGGAATCAAACTTTTTTACAAACATTCTTACAATTAACCGTTTTTGTATCAGTGCCAGCGCTTGCAGGATAACCACGCAGGATAACATCCCTCACTGGATGAGTTTGCAGAGTTGCATCATATCGTGCAGCTTCATAAACGTAGCACATTCCATGTAGCTTGTAAACAAGCCTGGTTTCTCCTTCCCTTTTGGTCCCATTTGGAATATTTGCTACCCCAATCATTAGAAACCCACTGTGCAGAGACATMATTTTTCCTCATTAGTTACCATTGCAAGCACACATGGTACCGCAGTGACAGGGTTCGCACTCCCTTCCGAAGCCTGTGGGGGTCTATAAACAAGTCTATAGAGTTTGCAATCTATAGACTTCACAAAGTCTATAGACTTTGCAGACTATGCTGTGAATGAAAGCCGATTGCCTCAGCATCTGCTGCTCTTTGGAAAACGGGTGCCGAAGACAGAGGACAGAATCTCCTTTTGGACACAGAGGCAGCCAGCTAACAGAAGCAGTTTGCCTGGCATTGAGCTGCTACTGAAAAATCTGATTTTTTCAGTCAATGACCACAGCTACTAGACTTTCAGGAGAGAGGGAGGATTGCAAATGAAGATGCAGAGCAGGGGTAGAGAAGAGGGGTGTTTCCCAAGAGCTCCCATAAAGGTAGATTTGGTCGTGCTGCCTTTGGCCGCTGATAACTGCAAATCAGAACACTCATCAATTATTCCTAGATATTGTATGTGGATAATGTCACTAGGAATTCATTAAGGGACATGATTAGCTGTCTGGTAACGTAAGCACAATTATGGCAACAGTAAAATATAGATTTTAAAGCATCCTAAAGGTGAGGGAAAAAAATGAAGTTGTGTTTCCAAGCAGATGTCATCGTCAGTGATGAAGCTGCAGGAATCTGAGGGAGGTCACAGCTGCACGGAGGTTAAATACCTGCTCTTGGAGCTGATGGTGGTTCTGCCGTGGCCCTGTCTCTCTGATTTACACGTGCATGATCACAGGAGCATCAGACTTCTTCCTGAGGAGA